TGCCTCTGGTAAGTCATGCTGTAGCATGTTTAGCTAACTTTGACTGAAAGACACATACCCTAACCTTTAATAACATGACTATTATACTTCAACATGCTTCATATCAGAGTTTGTAACAACATGCCTCTGGTAAGTCATGCTGTAGCATGTTTAGCTAACTTTGACTGAAAGACACATACCCTAACCTTTAATAACATGACTATTATACTTCAACATGCTTCATATCAGAGCTTGTAACAATATGCCTCTGGTCACTCATGCTGCACCATGTTTAGCTACCGCTTCTTCCACGTGCAGGTTTAGATTATCTAATGCATTAGGTAAACCATCACAGATATAGTATTAACATAAAAGCAAGCATCACATTCTTACCATAAATAAATGAATGTTTCATTTCTAATATTGTGAAATTATGAACCAATGTATCATCAGCAGGAACACAATTCCAAGACATCCCTTGGCACTTTCAAACTATATTTCATAAAAACATAATTTCTCTTTTATATGATAATCTTTACATCTATATGTCTAACAATACCCCCATGAGACATAAAATATGCAATAATTAATGGCCACAGGAGTGTACTGTGTGATATTATAAAGATTGCAAGTGAATAAAATGATTTCTGAATACCCATTCCACAGATTACATTCAGTTAAGGAGACATCTCTATTACATATTTTGGTACCTAAACATTTAAACATTAAACTAGATATTTCATAACACATACTTAAAACGTTTAATTTTTTTAAATGGGACACCTCCAATAAGAAGAATAAAATCAAGCCTCCAAATGTCAGTTTAGATGTTATTCATCACATGTTTATTTTATTTAAATAATGAGCAAAATACTTTACAAAAATCAAGTTTTCATGAAAACCTCTTTATGCTGGAATACAAATTAGTAACGAGAATGATTGTTCATAGCTTTTGAACATACAAGTACAGTTAAAAGATATATATTACATTAATTTTTGTTGAAAGTGAGAGAAAAAAAGTACAACAGTAGTTTGAAAATCATATGGATGAAAGACGAAATTAATTCAGAAACAAAGCAAAATTATCTGATTTCACACCAACACCCAAAATTAAAGAAATCACTGAAGAAACAATGTATGAGTTTTTGTAACAGAGCAAGTAACCTTGAACTGGAACAATGGAATATCACAATAAAAAATTTAAATTTCAAGAAGAAAACTAGTCAACTGAATACTAAGATTCTAAAAGACACACACACATACTAATTTATTGTTTAATTAAAGTAAGCTTTTCACTTGCAGTATTTCTAGAGACAAAAATATTTGTAGATATAAAACAAAACTAAATTATCCATGTTTTGAAGATTATCAAATAGAGGAAAAAGAGGTCAACAGTAAATAACACTTGAGTTTTCAATTTACCATTGAAATTGGCAGGAAAGACATAAACTATATATTGAGTATATATTTGTTTATAAAAAGTAGCTGTTCATTTTCAAATCCATCTGAGTCTGTGTAAATGCACAAACATTTTTATAAACGTTACTATTAATGCAAGTAAGTCCACATCCATACCGTTAACCTGACATGTTATTTTGATTTGCTAAAAAAACAATTTGATTGATTGTATTGTATACTTTATTTGAAAACTATACTTTTACATTACAAGATTTTCTTCCATTAAACACCTTTTTTTTTTTAAATCACAGTCATTTTCAAATGCACTTTTTTTTGGCTTAAATATGACACTGAATTTTCTCATTTTTGAATGATTTTCAAAATTTTCTTTTAACCTAGTATAACATTAACTACATACATTAGGATCACTCAGGAGCTAATTTTATATATTCCTTTTTTATTTTTGCAAGTTTTACAGCTTGTTGGGTTTTCAAACTAATAAATTATTCTCTACACTTTTATTTAAAAAATTTACTTTGGTGCAATTTACATTTTGTTATATTTTGGAACTATAAAGTTTTTTTTACTATAACGGTTTCTTACCTTATGTCTTTTTCTTCAACATAATTACACAGTATAAGAGAAATACAATTTTCAGATAATTGGTATTGCCAACTTTATACAAAAAAAACCTTTGATATTCTTCATGATGACCTGGGACCTTACAGCCATCAGATTCAAGCACAAATGTTTTTATTCAAAATTTTAATAGTTTAATTCAAGTACTAATGCACAGAGACAGTACAGACATAAAGATGTAATACTTAACTCACCACCTAAGAATGTGGAAGGTCAAACTACATGCACAAAAACTTTCATGAATTTTTTCTTTTCTGAAAGATTAAGTACTTGACATGTTTAATAAAAATATTATGTTAACTGTAATTATTGAAAGTATGCCATTGTCATATAAAAAGTAGTGTGAAAAAAAAAAAAGATGACAATTTTAAATACAGCTTTCATTTCACACTAAAATTTTTGAACATGAACTACTCCAAAAATTTGAACCACAGTGATGGTGGCTGTAAAACCTTGACTCTTTCAGAGGCATTAAGTAATTGGGAAAAATTATTCTTGTTTATCCTCACCCGAGTACCAACCATGCAAAACTTTTCCCATTATAACACCTGTAGGCAGATAGGAAAAACTGGATGTTTCATAGCACAATTTAACCTAAAATAATGAAATTTGTATGTGAGCAAAATGATCATCAATTGTAAATAAATCATTTAATGACAACTGTAAAAAAGATACTATTCTGGTTGAAACCATCATCATATTTATTGATAATGGAATTCCTCATAACTTTCTTAATGGCTACCCCAACAAATATTATTGTCACATATACAATAATACTGCTTCAAACAAGTTACTTACCTTCATCTTAAGACTTGTCACTTAGGTTATTGGTATAATTACAGAGAATCTAACCCAACTGGAAGTCAGTAACACATATCAAAAAAAGACATAGTAAGGAGAATATCCATTTGAGTTTCTTCTATACAAGATGGATACAACAACAGTTAAGAATAATTTTTTATACAAATATTGATATCATAATCAGCTACTTACTTCAAATATCACATAGCTTCTAATCATCATTCAAAGCCCATTAACGTTTGAAAATCTACATGTACTATAAGTTATAGCAAAACTTAGAAATACTGCTAATCACCAGCATGCTGCATCATACAGTATCGTTTATAAGCTCTTCTTTAAAGAACTGAATAAAGAGAAAACTCATAAGCTACAATCCAACTTATGAAGTAACCTCATTTACTAAACTTCTATGCATATATTATGCCTAAAGTCAGCTGCTGTTCCTATCCTCAAACTCGAAATAACAATATATATATATATATATGTATAAAACTATCTATATTAATGTCTGTGCTTAAATTTTCTTTAATCTTCCCATTATCAAACTCTCAAAAAATCATATATAATCAAAATGGGTTCAGTTTATACCAATTATATTTCAATTAACCATGGAACTTTCAAGAAGGTGACTGAATTATTACTGTTATAACAGATTGTTAATTATTTTTAATATTAAAACAGTATACTTACACTATGAAAAACTTTGAATGTGGGAATATAATGTAGTCATTTTTGTAACCAAAGGTTGAAGAGGGTGAAAGGAAATTAATTATTATAAGAATGATACTGAAATTAACTTACATTATAATGGTAACTGGTAAAATCATGGGTGACATGAAAAGAGAGGTAAAATCATGGGTGACAGAGAGGGCAAAAATTATCTGTATTGTAGTGAAGAAAAAATATATGAAAAGTTTGAACATTTACCTACAAGAGTGGATACTGCAAAAAAATTATCCATAGAACTGCAAATTAAAAGAAGTTTTTTTCTTTAAATATAAGCTCTCACTTAATCAAAGATGGATAATACTATCAATAATATGTGAAGCACCACATTCTCTTTTCAACTGCTCTAGTAGCTAATTGATGAATAGTGTTCATTTGTATGAAATCATAAGTGACTGCAGGGATTCATGGTTCTTCACCCCACATAGTGCAAAGATACATATAATTTTTCTCTGTTATGTTTCAATTATAAAAGACAAAGAGTTGAAGCACTAAGAAGTTCTTGAAATATCAAGATATTTTGTTAAATCATTCCTGTGGTGTGTGTGTTTGACAAAGCACTTATTTCAATTTTTTTCTGATTAATTCATTATTTTATTAAATATATGAAATTTGATGGGCATCATACTGTATAAAGCTTTGTAACAGTTCAAGTGTAATGAGAACAAACTTAATGACACAGCAGAGATGAAACTGTGTAAATTATGAACATAGTAAGCTAGTATAGTCTGGGCTCCTCTGATATTGTTTTGGTGAAGTTTTTACAGTTATACATATGAACCATGCAATGACAAAATACTTACTGGTGTAATCACTCAATTTGTTTAGCCAACACACCTAAATATTGTATTAAGTAATTTAGTTTATGACACAAAAGTCTTGGCTAGAGTCAGACAAAAGAAAAAAACAAACAACAATTCAATAGAGAAATCAATTCAGACTATCATTACCTATAGATAAAGGTTTATGCAAATGTCAAATAAATTTTATATCTATGCAATAAATACTCATTTCTTAACAAAAACAAAATATTTATGATACACATGATCAGACACTAAAATGCTGCATCCTTTCACAAAACACTTTTTATGGACATAAATACAAAACTTTTATGAAATATTAGATATAGTAATAAGGTGAAAAAAGAAATCTTACAAGACCCTTCAGCTACAGTCTTTCAATCAAGGATCTTAAAACTACTGAAACAAAATTTAGTCAATCTTTAGACTATTGTTATTTTTTGATACCATGTATTCCCTAACTCAATAACATGATAAAGCAAAAATATAAAACTTGTGTGAATTAAATAACTAAAAAAAAAACATGGCATACCTGTGAAATTGTTCTCTGCTAGTCTTGAACAAGTCATAAAATTAAAAAGAAGAAAATAAAATGAAATAAGAAAAACAAAACAATTTTAATAATGTATGTGTGTGTATATATATACTACACACACACACATATATATATATATACTATAGGAAAAAAAACACTGGGAAGGTATCAAACAACACAACAAAACCAAAAATAAACTAACAGAAGGATTCTTTTTGTATAAGTGGTGTTAAATCAAATGTATCCGTCTACTTGTTCACAAGCACACACACGTTTTAGGTGTGACAAGATATATAAAACAGCAAGTATTTATGATTACAACACAAAGAACTGTGTCGTTTCACATTTCTGCTTATTTAACATTAATATTCAACATGTCATGGCCCTCAGCTCATCAGCCAACAGTGTAGACAGGTAAATGTACCAAGTCTCCATCTACCTACAATAACTCTCTCTCTCATCATCTTATACTTCCAAACTACCCTGTAAGCAACTCCACAATTTCATGCCCAAAGCAGCAAGGTGGAGGTCTGGTTAAATCACAGTAGAGGTTGATAAGCAAAGCTTCATTCATTCTTCTGACAATACAGTTCCTTCAGAGATTTTAGTTCCTCAATGAGAGCCTTGTTCTGATTCTCTAGGACAGCCACTCTGTTTTCTAAACACTTAATATACTCTTTCTTCTTTCTTCGACATTCTTTTGCTGCTTCCCTATATAAGAAAAAAGGATGGTATTCTACACTTTATCATACCTTTGTAATGATGCTTATCAAGACAACTGAACTTAACTTTGACTGGAAATAGAGTTATTATATTCCTGCTCCTAGAGAGAGAGAGAGAAAGAAAAAACAAACAGAATGGATGAGAAGATGAGATACTGCATCTTCATACTTGAACAACAGTGAAAAAAACTTTTAATACTTGGTGATGCCATTAAGTTTTCAAGGATTTGACCATTACCTAAAAGCTAAATGACTTTGGTAAATTACTCTTACTTGTAAAGGTTTTGCTACATTTAACCTTTGATTTTGAAAGTTCAACTTGGTGAGAAAACACAGAATGAAAGAATAATATTTTGTTTATAATTTAAAATTTTATTATGTTTTTCTGCATATGTTGCTCGTTTTCTGCTTTTCTTTACTGGTGGCACAATGATTATTATATGTAAAACCAACAAACGAAGATAATGTTGACAACAATGGAATACAAGTTAAACTGATAAAATACATGATTCTTTGTCTTAATTTCTTTCTACAGAATTTTTTAAATGAGTTTTGAAAACTATCTTAGAATGAAGTTATCTCTTAAATTTATTTTCTAAGTTTTATGACACTGAAAACTTTCTTTTTTGAACAACTTTTAGCTACTTTATTATAATTTTGTATCATGTTTTAACTATCCTTAATAATTCTAGTCCCTTGAAACACAACTACATTAGGTGAACCAGGTACAACTAGACTAACCTTTAAAAATGAATATTGTATTATATGTAAGCTACTGCTAAGTTGTAAAATAACTAACCTATTCTTTAGAAGCCTGAGCTCTCTTCGTCGTGATGTCTCTTCTGCTAACTGTTGGGGATTCTGGATAGTAGTAGCTGGTGTCATGACAACACTCTGTGGAAGTCCAGTGTTTGTAGTCATGCCTGCTGTCCTGATCTGATAGGCCTGAAGGTCAGTTGCTGACAAAGTGACTGAATTTCATGGCAGAAAAAAAACAAAGCAACCAAATTTTACACTACAGTAAAACATTAATAGTTATCTACCTAAAATGAAATAAATCATTATAACTTTAAAAATCAAAACTCATAAATCACAAAATTTAAAAGCATACAATGACAGTGTACTCTATTAAATTTCTAACAACTGTTTTTATTTAATACTACTTTTTGTAGAGCTTATAAAAAAGGTTATGCTAAGTTTTACTTTCACAATAACTTATTATTAACAGATAACTCATGCTTTAATAATTATAAGAAGCATTAAGCAATCTATGACATCAGAAATATTAAAATAAAAACATATATTTTTTCTCAACTTTCCCTTTCTCATATACATTGCACATTTTACATTACCTTTTACATCAATTTACAGCTTTATAACAAAATATGAATTCAAAATATAATTTTTTAGTTTTTAAAACTCTTATGTTTCAAAATGTTCTTAATAACATACATTATACAGTTTATATATACATTAAAAAGTAAACAAAAGAGTAAGATACCATGCTGATCTGTAGCTAAACTATGACCTTGAATACAATTCTCATTCAAGCATAAACAAATCAAATTAATAAAAAAAAACATAACAATTTGCTTTATTTTGTATTGATTTCAACTTCTTCAGCAAAGAGCTCATGTTAACAAATTATTATGAAATATATGTAGAACATATACTAGTAATAAATATGAATTTTTTCCTCAGGATTTCAAACAATTCATATCCTTGTCTTGCAGATTATTTTTTTAATTTGCTGTTTAAATTGAATCTTTATGCATGTAGTTAAAAAATTTTTTTGCAGGAAAGATTAGGGAAATTCTTAATAGACAGCAGCCAACTCACCCTTAATTTCTGCATCAAAACAAAACTGCTCTACATTTGACCACATACGTTAAAATGATATTCAAAAAACAGTTACATGTGCAGAGAAAAGGGCTGCAAGCACTGTCAAATGAATGTTGTGACTGAGAAACTGTCTTATGAAAATGCCAGAAATATAGTTTTTTCTAAATGTAGACTCACACACACAATATCTTTATATTATGGAAACATGATCAACGATGTTTCTCTACTTACTAATATTTCTACAAAAATATCAACACAAATTTTTACTGATCCAATAACTAAAATTACAGATCACAATACTAAGACACAAACTAAGTCAATAATTTCAAAAGGATAAATTTCACCACTACATATTTATCATGTGTTGAAAAGTTACACAAATTAATTTAATACTTTGTCTATTAAACCTCTATTTACCTAAGTCTACATGTATGTGTTAATTTCTTTTTAATCCCACATAATCTATGAAAATTAAAGTTTTATTCTCAAATAACATTTGTCATACATGATGTTTTCCTGTATAATGAATGCTATTCTACAGCAGTTTTCTCTAGAAATGCTAAAAATATAGCACTTTAAACAAAAACTTGTTGACAGTTCATCAATGACATTTATCTGAACTCTTATACTTTTCCAAATTGTCTAGTTATTTCTCTGGGGAAAACCACAAATATTACGTATGTCATGATTAAAGGAAACTCAGTGACTAAACCACAAGATGCTCTCCCCCAGTGGCACAGCAGTATGTCTATAGACTTGTACTGCTAGAAACCAGGTTTTTATACCCATGGTGGGCAGAGCACAGATAGCCCTTTGTGTAGCTTTGTGCTTAACAACAACAACATACCACAAGAAACCTAATCCTGTTAGTAATCATGATTTGAAGTGTCTAATTTATTTTGTGTCACTATTGTACACACACACACACACAGTTTTTTTTAACTTTTGGTAGAATGATGAACAGTTACTGTTTAACATTTTCCTGCCTATACTTTTCTGTGAATGTATATGTCACATTATAAGATGATGTTCGTAAAACTGAGCTTTTTATGTCTTACAAAATCATCAGCAAAATATATAACCTTTAAAATTTCTTTTAATAGAAACTTCACATCACATATTTAAGAAAATACAAATAATTTTGCAAATATTAAGACTAATTTCGTATTTCTGCTTTTAAAATGTCAACCCAGACTAGTGGGTAGAAACCAAGTTTAAATACTAGCTCCACCACATAAAAAATGCATTCCTCCTCAGTATTCCTCTTGATGCAACCAGAATGTAAGGTGTTAATGAATCAGTTGGAAGAAGAAGGGAAATATCATGGTATAAGTTACTAACCATATTTAGGATTAGATTCAGGTTCCCACAACTTAACAGTACTTTGCTTGGGTCTATATAAAACATCCCAAAAGGATTTTTGTAGTATAATTAGATTAGTAGTTTCAATTAATTTTTCTCAATATTTGTAAACTGTAAAACACCAACAACATGATTCAAACATTTTTTAAATGATGATTTAGGCTGTGTTTTGATGATAAGGAGAGGCTGATTATGGACGGTCTGAAGACAGGTTACACAGGTTATTTGAAACATTGTCACTCATCAACTTTCTCTTTCAGATTATTCAGTGTTTCAATAATCAATCTTCTCTCATATTTCAAATATCTTCTGCTAGAGATAATTACGTAATACTCTGTATATTAATGAAAATTAAATAAAATTCATTCTTTTTGGAACTTTGAAACAAAGTCTCTGACACTAGTTTGAGGCACATCCATGTACCCTCATTGGTTGAATAGTGTTTCACAAAGAGGTTCATTAAAAGAAAATAGAAAACAAGGTGTCTATAAACCTCCATGCTAGTCATGTTATAAAATTTACATTGGTGAAGCATAAAGAAATACAAACACAAGAATTGCAGGACATAAAAAGAAATGTTAAGATCAGAAATAGAAATAACTCAATTTTCCTATATGTATACGAGAGTTTTTATCGATACCATATACTGGAAGTCATCCAATCTTACCTATAAAACACAGAATTACATAAAATGAAAAACTGCTGAAAGCTGTGTGATCAATATCAAATTAAACATCAAATTTTGGAGATCAATTCAGGCTAAACTGTTATTTTTTATTTCAACACATGCATCCTACAAGGAATAAGGGATCAAACTTCAACACATAAGCTTTGTGCTGGAATGAATCTATCTTTCACTGTGAGACACCACCTGGCAGAAAAGGATGTGTGAATGTGCTTAAACTAATATCAGAGTCTCTGTGTCAAAGTTCAGAAAAAGTTTAGTTCAATCTTCCACTAGCCCAGAATGGAGGATCCATGTGGGTCACTCAGGATGGTTCCAAATTTTACAAAACGTTTCTTCTTACAATATCACACACATCTATAAGTGTACAAATAATTCATGCTTTTGCATTAGTGAAATATTTAAAATCTTACTTTAATGGTCCCCTTATGTGACAATCAGATTACAATCACACAGATTGCTTTTAAGATGTGTTTTTTGGTGTGCAAGTAAATACAGTTAACATTTTACATTTCTTTAAGAATACTAAAATTACAGGAGCCACTAGAACATTATGCATATCAGCATGGATGTGTTATATAACACATCCTGATTGAAGACATATTTAAATAAACATTGTACATTATTTACAAAGGTAATTTAAATGAAACATTTTTAACATTACTTCATCAGTATTTGTTTATTTTATTATATGTTTTATTTATTTCTTTACAAATTAAAAGGTTTTAAAATTTTATGTTCCTGGCTTTATTGTCCCTGCAGGATTTATAAAAGCAGGCTATGATTCTATGGGATACAGTGGAATGAAACTAATAAAAACCATTTATATCTTTTTGGTTGTGCAAGGACATAATAATTGACACATGTATAATTGAATAATAAAAAAAAAAGACTCCTAACTTTGTAAGATAGATAAAATCACATCAGAACAAATATGAGACCACTAATTACACTATTCTGCTAGCATATACATAATACAGAAGACACAATTTTTCTAAATGTGCTATAACAGAGAACAAAGTAATATTGCACACTGTTTTTACCTACAAGAAAAGTTTACAAAGCTGAATCAACTTTAATTCTCAATACAACTTGTTATTTCTATTTATGTTATAAATGTCTGGGTTGGAAATCATTAGGAAATATGTGAAACAATTAAAGTTAAAACAAGAAAGGAATACATATGATGATTGATTTTTCTTAAACACATGTGAAAAGATTATGACATTTAAGCATAACTTAGAGTGACATAAAAAAAAAGAACTCAAAAGAAAAAAAGATTTAAAAGTAACTGTTCCTCACCTGGCACTAAGAACTGTTGGCCATCTTGTCCTTGGGCATATTGAACAATAGTTCCTGTGGCTGCAGTGCCTGCATTGGTCATAGTTAATGTTTGAAGCCCTTGAAGACTGCTATCTTGTGAGCCTGTAGCCAGCTGAATAGCCGAAGCTGGAACCACTTTAAGAATTTACAGAAATAAAATCAATGTTAGATGCTGTTTTTGTTTCTTTACCAATGTCATTTTCTTGTCTTAAGATCTTAAATTACAGCTATCGATGTAGACATAAGAAAGCTTAGTATAATTTTATAAAACTAGCATTATCACAGTATTGTAGAATCCAGATAAATAGTAACACCAAAAGCATTAGTAGTCAGGGATCAGTAACAGTATCGATTGCTTATCCTAGTAATTAAACGTAAAAATAGATTTAATTATTTAGTAATCTTTCACCATGACATTCCAGTGAGTAATTTTTATACCAGTGATGTCACTTGCAATAGCTAATTCTACCCATTCCCTGAATTAACTTACCCTTCAACAAACCTTGGGCAGTATGGTACTGTGTTCCTGCCACTGTGATGGTATTTGATGCCATTGCATTACTGTTGTCCGACTCCTGACTACTACTGTCACCTCCCGTTCCACTTTCTTCTTTTACTTCAACACTGGAGCCAACTCCAAGAGAAATCATGGGTCCTTGAGGTTCTGTAGATGAAAGCTCATTCAGAATTTTCCGATAGGAAGGACGCCTTGCTAGGATTTCTCGTCTTTTCCTGGATTCATCTTCTCCAGTACCTAGAGCAAGTGTTATTCCATCCCCCTCACTACCATCACCTTTGGTGGTTGTTGTTATAAGCTACAAGATCACAAGTATAGAATATAAATAATTAAGTTTGCCTTTATAAAATATGTAATTACACTCTACTTTAAAGCTTTGCAAAATTAGTATAAGGCTTTTTCTGACAGAAACATACAAGTGAAGTAAATAAAAAATTACCTACACAATTATTAACTCAACTACCTTTTAATATTTACACATAAGATAATTGTGTACAAGGTACAATCTCATAAGAAATATATTATCTTTAAATACATCAGACAAACATACTTAAAAATCTGTAATAACAGAGAATCATTACACATGAAATAAGCAAAGGAGACAATATTTGACAATTTAATAAAACATCTTAAAAGTCCTTATTGCAAATTAATAGAAATTCATATAGTATAAGTATAACTAGGGTATTTCTGCATAACCAAATATATACTGAAGATAGCTTTAAGTAATCACTGACTAAGTACAAAATATTATAAGTCTCAGTATTTCATGTAGAGAAATAAAGCAAAATAAATGAAATAGCTCTTCTGACAGGAAGTTGAAATTACTGTAATAAATTTTTAAACTGGATGAAAAAAGAAAACATTATGAATAAAAAAGGAACAATATTTTTATGAATGAACTGACATACATTTCTTAATGACTGTGAGTTGATTTATTTGAATATATAAAACATCTAAATCATAACAAATCTGTGTAAATCAGATAAGCAAAAATAAATATTTTTGTACATTTAATTCAGCAAACTATTTTGTAGATTAAAAGAAGCAAAGTTAACATATTTGTTACTTCCTGATTACTGGATGCTTCTTTGAAGGATAGTACTTGCCAGATGAGTTTGACTTCCTTAAGAGGAACACCCAGTACATGGAAGATTATGCTTTCCATAACCAGCTGGATCCTTAGTGAATTTTACTTGTTATTTGTCAGATGATTTTAAGCATCGAAGTGGGTATCCCTAGTAGGATATGAATTACACTAAGTCTAAAATAAGCCTCTCCAAATTTCCTTGGTTCTTAGTCAATTTAAACTACTAACTGCAAAATTACTTTCATTTACCCAGGAGGGAGAAGAACTCCAGTAAAGAAGATATTAATGAACAGAAAAAAAGAAAACATTGTTAAGCTATCATTTACTAATTTCCTAACATCTTTTGAAAAGAATCCTCATATTTTATAATTTGGTTAGTAACCGATATCCTTATTAACTGAATTACCATACAAATAAAATTAATCAAATTTCAAAGTTATTTGTAAAATTTTGAAAGGAAAATCCTATTATCATACTTGCAAAACATGATAAAAACTGAATGTAAAGCATGTACCCCTAAGGTGTAACATTATAAAAATTCCATGATTATCAAGTCCTTCAATCATTTTCATTTCAATGTAACACTTGCATATCAGACTTTTGTATATGATATAGTGTATGCACAAGGTAATAATAATTAATAGTTTAATATTACAGTTTCATTTCAACATGTACTCATATATCTATGCGAGATAACTGCTATTATATTCCTCAACCTTCTATCAAATCAAACAAGACGTACTTGAACAGGATGAACCCCTCCATCTCCTTCAGTGCTGTGAATCACTGATCCCTTGTTCAACAGAATCACATTTTTTCCAAACTATAAGACAAAATATACAAATTATTTTTTTACATAACATTCAAAATCATGAAATGGTGTAAGTCTACAATTAAATCAAACAATACTATTCATGTTCAAATAACATGCATTATGTTTCAGAGTAAGTATTTAAATTCAAGGGTTTCTCTAATCTGGGTACATAAATGACTCAAACTTTTATTTATTCATCCGTGGTTATGAAAACAATACATACCACTCACTTAGCTTTGAGGTCTTACATGATTTAGTTATTAACCAAATGTGCATGAGTTCAGTCCAATGGATTGACCCCATATTGGTGAAGGAATGTTGACTATAATTCCATATTTCTTTCCTGTATCTAAACAAAATGTGGCAAGCTTTTAGTAAATGTACATGTCTGTTGTGCATACAAAATCAGATGTGTCACAAAAAGTATTTGTACTCAAGATATGTCTGTGAATAGACAAAGTAACTCTGATTCAGACTCTAACAAGTTGGAGTGCAAGGTTCATGTGAAGAATCAAAATACGTTTGTCCATCATACAGTTTACATACTGCATTTGCATAATCTCTAGAACCTCTGAAATGCATATCTAGCTTTTTTTAGCCACAGCACAGTGGCTCATAGAATGGTTCTGAGGCTTTGAAGTACAAACTTTTAGCTAAAATCAGTCAAGAGATATAATTACAGTTTTGGACTCAGGAGGTCAAACCCTTTCGATTGATGCTTCGACCACACCCAAGGTCTATTAGGTTAATTTACTCTAATCCCACCTTAAATAATTTCAATTTGAGGGTAGGCTGGTAGAGATCCTGATGAGTAATAAAATTGAATGGGTATATGCAAGCCCCAGACTTGGTATTGCTGGCACACAAAAATATAGCTAATAAAAAGGTAAAAGCAGGTCTTATAAATTAATCTACTCTAATCCTGCCTAAAAGAATTTAAATTGCTGCAGCTATTAATAATTCTCTCTTGTTTTTAATATCCCTGTATATGGTATCTGGTATTTACTTTTTTCCACCACAAAATGTTACTAAATCAGCAATATAGGGCAAAATAAATAGTTGAGAACTCTGACAGCAACTAAAAAATACCATATTAAATGGCACTCTGTAAAAGGTCATGGCATGCGCACTTTGAGCCCCACCAGTGCAAATAGAGTTAATTTCACAATTTTATTAGAATTATTTCAAAACATTTTATGATAAAAAAAACAAATACCCGAATATCATAATATATATATATATATATATGATAATGTAGAAAAACATTTAATTAGTAATATGGAAATTCAGGTGTATCTTGACCTTGGAAGGATGACAAATTAGGTCCTTCAAAGGTGAAGATTAAAATCTGAGACCCCTAAATATAATCTATTTATTAAATGTTAACTTCAAAACGATTTTAACTGGAAAAATATAGTAATTTGCCAAAACAAACTGCATGATACAGCAGTCAAGCTGTAAATGTAACTTATTACAACATATAAAATAAAACTGCTAAACAAAACACAATAAAAAAAATGAGCTCAATGAAATTTTTTACTGTTATTAACAGTCTAGTGAAATTGATATTTAAATGTCCTATCTTCTTTAGTAATTAATTTAGATTTTCAAAGTTAATGTTTATGAGCTTAGTCCTCTGAATGAAACAATGTTTTAAAACTTATTAAATACATGTAACATTATTACTTTTGATAATTATTTTTTTTAAAAAAAGCTTTAGTCTAAAATATATTACTATTTATCAATCTCAGAAAATTTATAAACAAATCCAGTTAAAGCAGCACTATAAAATCAAATTACACGGAACTGATTAAAAAGTTTAAACAGTTTTATTACCGACTGAAGTCCAGTTCCTCCTGGTGCTTGTATTACAGACTGCTGGTTAGGCTGAATAACAGATTGCACATACATTGGTTGAGTACCACTAGGAATAGAAACATGAACAATGGATACAGCACCTCCGGGTTGAGGTACAGCTATGGCTTGTGTTGTTGAGGATACTGTTGTAACAACCTGCATTAATATTAAAGTTGTCAGAAATAGTTTCAGGTATACAACAACAAGCTAATATGCATTACAGAAAAGTCAAAAGTCTAAAATAGCTCTTTCAACATCTTATCAAAAAGATGTTTCTTCTTTATAAAATTGTCAGAAAAAAAAAAGGGAAGAGTAATTTTTTAAACTTAATTATTTTTATTTTCATTGCAAGCTGTATATTAAACAAGGAAAAAAATCTTAGTGAATAGAAATTTAGAATGTTTATAAAAAAAATAAAAATTATAATAACACATCTAACTGGAAAATAAACACTAAAGTGTTAATACCATTAATGTTAAACAGGGTTTTGTTTAACCTCTACAGTGTTAGATGAGTCTTGAAACAATTTTATATATCCACTTGTGGTATTCTTATGTAAAGAATTAAACATAGATAAGTCAAATCACAATAACTAGTGGAACACTAAGTTTTAGCTGGCATTGAACCACTGATGTCTGAGGCCAAATTGTTTCAGTTTAGGAACTGATACATGTTGGAGATTAACTTTAAAGTATAAAACACAAAAATAAAAATAGGATAAGTGATGCAATATGAGGAAGAAAACAAAAAATGTTGTATACATGAACAAAGTTGAACTTAAAATAATACCATTTACTTAACTAATTATTTCATATCAACAAATGGAAAAATCACTTCATGCGACCTAAATATGGTTCCTGCGTAGAATGCTTAGGGTTTCCTACAAAGACCAGAAAACAAATGAAGAAGTTCTACAACAAGCAGAAACAAAAATAACACTGATAACGAAAGTACAAAAAAGACAAGTAGCATTCTATGGTCATGTGATGAGGAGAAAGAGGATGGAACACTTGGTTATAACTGGGAAATTTGTGGGGAAAAGAAGTAGAGATAGACAGTGAGAGAAGATCCTGGACAGTTTAACAATTTGGCTACACAAAGAGAGAGTGACTGATGTAATCACAAGTGCCTGGGTCCGGGAAAGGTAGAGGGACATGATTGCCTATGCTATAAAGCACAGCACTTGATGATGATTTCATATCAAACCTAACAGTAGATGAACTGGGCTTTACTGCATGAACAGAAATGGACTGATGAGCAAGACAAGACTGACTCTATTACAAATATTGAAACACACACATGTCCAGTCAGAATATAATGAAATGATGCTTCTCTAACTAATCAAACACAAGACTGGAAAATGACCACTTTGTATTCTTATGGTAAAGTTGGGCTAGCAAAATGTGAAGTTCACATTCCAATAATTTCCAGTCCAGAAATATCATAATAACAAAGTTATAATATAAGGCCAAGACTGGTGCCATACATGGAGAAATATTGAAATCTTAAGGTACAGGTTTACAGTGGCCAAGACTGAACTGTTGCAGACAACTGAAGTCTGGAAATATTACATACATTTTTAATATTATACAAATACAGTTAAAGAAGCACTAGAAGATATGATATCCATGGCTTATCACATGCATCAGACGAGAAAGTAAAAAATGTTCCTGCAATAAAATCTGGTAGCCCAGTACAAATTAAATGTGACATCTGCAAAAAAAAAAAAAAGGACTAAAAACAAATACATGTTTGTCACTGATCCTACAAAATACATGTTATAAAAGGTACAACAACTTGTTCATTTCTGGACTGATGCTGTGTAAATCAAATTCATCTATCCAAATGTATATACCAGTACCACAATTACAAGACCATTTTTACATTTATTATCTCCAATACATGAAAATAAACTAATACTTTCTTTTTGATTTATTATATAACGAAAAACAACATACAGAAAATGTGTTACTTTCTCATTCAACATGAAAAAGCTTTTTATGCACCATTATCTGGATGTATTCTCACAATGTAAACCTGGTATCACATTATTACAATTACAGCATTGATGAAATCTACCACAATGAGATTTGTTTACAAAGTTAAATCAATCTGGTTAACAAAATGTTAACTGTGATTTAAACAAAAGTTTTATTGTTTAATGGTAAATATATTTGAAAGAAACAAAATGTATATATACATTATTATACAGTGGCATCGTGAAAGGCAATAAAACAAATGATAAAAATGTCCAGTCACAATTGTAAGAAGTTACACACAAAAATGTGTGTCATGCTGTAAAAACATTAAAAATTATAATCACAAACTTGTAAGTGTACAACTTGTGATGAATGTAAACAAAAATAGATATCCAGATCTCACAACTCTGAATCTTTGCTGAATTACATATCCAACCTTTTTTCTGTTTTCTTTTAAACTTCAATCCATTAAATGCACAATAATCAATCTTCAATTCTATGTTTCATGACAAATCATGAAATATACTATATACAGTACGCTTGTACCCATCTATTTAAAATATCACTTGGGTCAATAATGGCAGTTGTTTGCAAGTCACAATTAACAAGTAGTCCTATCTATCATCCATCATAGTTGACTGAAGTCTTGTTTTCATTAGTTTCATCTTACCAAGGGATCTTTTTAGTTTCAGCTGAAGTTACTTGCCTACTCATGAGACTTAATAGGTCTGTGCATAATTTATGTCTTGCTGGTAAAGGAATAAAGAGAAAACACTTAACGAGTCAGGAAAGGCTAATTAAAGTACAGGTAGAGTATAACATGATAAATAACTGTAAAGTATTTTTTTTTTTGCCAAATGGTTTTGGAGTAATTCAAACACCACACGATTAGGTAAAATTAAAGCTCATTTCTTGATTATTTTTGAATTTTCAAAAACCTCAACTATTGCTGAAAGGTGACTTGGTATAACCAGTGTCACGGACTAAACATCACAACATTCAAAACATTTACCGACATGGTAGTGCAAAGTTAGTTTTTACCAAGTGGTTTTTGCAGTTCGGTAAAAATATACACCTCCTATTTTGGATTTTCAAATTTTAACTGCGAGTAATAAAAGAGGCCTTCCTTAAACTTTGAGCTATAGGCTGAATAAAAGAATAATACAATGATAAATAACAATCCAATGCATATTTTCTTGTTAACAAATATTTTCACATTTGATAAAATATTAAACTTTAAAGCAAAATAGAAAACAATGCAAAGTGAAGTTTTCTTGTTTTCTCAAATCAGTATACCACATGTCACAACATTCAATGAAATTTAGTTTATTTATTCTTGCTATTCTTTAAAAACTGTAAAGCTCAAATTTTACTGAATGACTTTTGATCAGCCACATTCAACAGAATAAGCAATTTCACTGGGAGGGTTTCATTTCCCTTTAACCTCAGACTACCACCACCATGATGCCACTGTCTATCTATATAGATATAGCAGCTTTTTAGGGTATTAAAAATACAAGTATATATATAATTTTTTAATAAAAATTGAAGTTCTTTTTAATAAGATGGTCTAAAAAACCTGAGTTTCAGTTAAAGTTAATAACATTTCTAAAAGTAATTTTTGGATATTGAAACAAACTTTCTAGGCTATTGCTATTTACTGCAAGCCTGCCAATAATTTGTTCACATCTTCATGCACATTACATTTATATATACCAGTCTATATGGGAGTTCCAAAATAAACACATTTCAAATTTTCAAAACAAGGAACTATAGATACAGTGATTACAGAAAGTTATATTTTCCAAAAACTCATAAAAGATCGAAGTCAAAGTTTACTAAACCTAAACTTTGCCACATCTCACAGGACAATCAGCAATCCATGTACATTGAGATTAAAAAACAACATAACACATGCAACAGGAAACATTTCCAAATAATCATTTTCAGCTATATGAATATTTAAAAAAATTTTTAAATGAAAGCAAAGCTAAAAAATCTTTCATCACTCAACAACACAAAGTGACATATACTTCACATGCTTCTAGAATCTGATCATTAGAAACCCGATGTTCAACTAACTCATTTGGAAATGATATTCGTGGCAAATGTGCTATATAAATAATAATAAAAAAAACATACCATATTGCATTACTTACCCCATAATTAACAGAACAGTAACTACCTGTAACATATTAATAACTAAATAAATCAAACCCCCCAAATGCTGACACAATAAAGAATTAAACTATTCACATGTAAAGCATGTTGTTGTGGTATTTTTTTATTTAAAATGTGCATCATGTTTTTCCTTTTAATAATACATGTGTAACCATAACATTTAAGCATATGTACATATTTTCTAAGGGATAATTAAAATGTTTGAACTATGATATCAGTTCACAGCCTGTATTTTATACTCTCTGTCTAATGAAATTTCTGTAGCATACAAGGTTACAAGAGCATTGAAAATAGAAAGAAAACTGTCAGTGTGGTACAAGGACGTGGGAATTAGGGGTGTTTGGTTGCATCCCCCAAGTTGAAGTATGTGGGTGTGATACTGCTTAGAGTGTTAGAAGTGGTGATTCGCACTGTTTTTCATTGCACACACATACATATATATATATCAACATTTCACACCAAGCCACATGAGTGCAAGTTCGTTTTTTAAAGAGTTAAAATTCTGTATGTTTTGCTAGTGTTGCAGTACTATTGCATGATATTCACTAGTAGTTTACTGTGGAAAAATATGGCATCGGCAACTTCAGGAAAACGTTTTTCATAGTACTAATGTTAAAAATAATTATTTAGCTTTGGGTAACCTGTACTGGACATTGTAGAAAAGATGGTAGTTAAAGCATTTTTTACTTAAATACATAACCATGTATTGGTATTAGCTTTGTTTTGTTAACATGTTTCAACAAACTAGCACTCAAATGTGTGGTTTTCATTATATGTTTACTCACATTTTCTTGTTTTCCTATGTCTCTCTGTTTTCATGTGTTGAATATTTTTTATCACATGCATAAATTACCCCTACAGAGAGCAACCAACTCAATACCTACATAAATCCTTTGTATGCCCTGTACACCCACAGAATATTAAGAAATGTTACTATCTGTTTGGTAATATTCATTATTGACTGTATTGAATTTCATATGCAGTAATTTATTCATAGTTTTTAGCTGATAAACGTTGGTTTATGTAGCCCAAGTTGATTATTGATTTATCCAACTTTTTAATTATCTAAAAACAAACAAAATTTCTTTCATAGCATACTAAAGTATTGTTTTGGAGAAACTTCTGACTGAATAAACCACATAAAAGAGGCATTGCATTAGCAAAAACACATAGATTTCACTAAAAGTAAGGTCAAGGTTAACCACTCAAAGGCTTTCCTTCTATTCTTAATTTTACATGTTTTCTTATTAATTACTTATTATTACTCCACACTGACTATACACTGGTGACTGAAATTTTCAGTTATCAATAATTCTCTCATAAAGGTAAAAATATGTTTAAGTAAACTTTCAGAAATCCTTCTTTAATATTAAAAAAATAGATATCTGTGAATACCTTTGGAGAATTCATGAAATAAATCCTGAACAGCCTATATTAAGATGATAAATGATTACAAATTCTTGTAAAAAAATATATAACTGGTAGGTATATTTTCAATTACCTCTCAGTTATTCTTCATAAATTCACTAACAAGCTTCAAGCTGTATTTATATTTTTTCCAGACACTAAGTTACACCAACTAGTAAGTAACTGAAGGTCAAGAATTTAATTAAAATTAGAAAATAAATAAAAAAATTAACAAAATACAGATCTTGTGATTAAATGTTTTCAAGATACAAAATTATAATGGGATGAAATCACCTCTTTATATGATCTTCAGATAATAAGTTGAGAAGATAATAATTCTGTTGCATAGATCCCTTGTTGGGAAATATATACATATATACTGTAACTAGCATCAAGTATATGTTTCTGGATCCTAGCCTTTAGAACTGAAATGAAAGATTGCTAAAAAAAAGTATATGTAAAGCTGTAGTTCAACAGATCAAGTAACCAGTAAGAAAATATAACCATAATTTAATAGCTTTTAGAACTTCTCTTCTCAAAAGCACAAACTAGCACTTTAAAGTTAAGTGTTTTCAAGATATTGGTACAAAAATATAAAAACAATAAAAGGTACCTATTTTCAAAAGGAATAATGTACTATCCCCAAGTTATATGCAAATAACCTGAGATTAAATAAACTTCTTTTTTAACTTTTCTACAACTGATAACGAATAGAGAAGTTGTGTAAAAAGTGACAACGCTATCAGAAAAGTTTATATAATTGTTGGTTTTATATATAGTAGAGATGGCTGATATGGGTATTAATAACTTTTATTTAAAAGCACAAAACAAGCAACAATGTTTTGACCTCCTTAGGTCATCATCAGTAACCTGATGATGACCTAATGAAATCATAATTTTAGTTGTTTTGTGTTTTTAAATAAAAGTTTTTAATACCCATATCAGCCATCTCTATTATACATATTTACTTCAAGTGGGTTCCTCGTAATCATAAATTGTTGGCTTTGCTCTGTGTTACAACTACTTCTGCTTTCCAGATACTGAAGAAACACTAAATTTTTGAGAAAGTTGGTTTAGTTATATCTTATTTAGAGTTACTGGTATAGTTTTCATGTTGTATACACTGTGTTAGTTATGGAAAATTATCCTTCTAAAGATCCTTTCCTACCTAACCTGCTGCAGATATCCTTTCTGGGCTGTTGCAACATACTATGAGAAATAAATTCAGAAGATTGTGTTGTGCAAACTTTCTTGGCCAGACAAGACAGTCACACTACAGATAATAATTGTTTTCTATACATTTTAAACTTGATTAAAATCTGTAAAACTCCACATGAATAAATAGTATTTCTGTCTGTGAAAATGGCAAAACAGTGAAACTGATTATTATGAAAACATTTACAATAACATATTAACATGAACACTGTATAACTACAGTAATGTTTCAAAGAAAACCTTCTTTTCATGATAATGTTCAATTTTGATTTAATGAAACAAAACATATATATAAACTCACACTCCTCAAATTTTAAGATAATGGTTCCCAATCTATGGGACATGTCTCTCTGAGGGGCAATATTGCTGAAATGGAACACGGGGTAACTTAGAACAGCCTTGAATAAACCAATCACTTGGGAAACTAAAATTTTAAGGTGACTGATAATAGCGGTAATAAAATTGATGTATATTATTGGTTTATATATTTTCTCTCTTTGTACTGTTGAAAGGAAAACTGGTGAATAACTCAAGTAAAAGATAGTTGAAGATAATTTTATAAGACGCTTTAAGTTTTTTGTGGGGGGGTGAGATTTTGTGCAAATAAAAAACTCTACATATGTTGTGGGTATTATTAGAAATCAAGTGAATCTTTTGACTCATATTTGAGGAAAAAGAGAGGCATGAGGAAGAATGGTTATACTTAAGTGCCTCTGGATAGAAAAGGTTGAGAACCACTGTGTTAAGATAAAATTTACTACATTCTGTTCATGTGAAATTACTAAAACCGTTACAATGGATAACATAATTACAAGTTACCTAATAACAAGTGTTCATCTTTAAAACACCAATAACAAGAATCACTAAGAGTTAAAATTTTATGTGAATGATACCAAACATACTGATTATTAAAACAACTTACACGTCGCATTATTTAAACAGCAAAACTAGTCTAGTAATATGTTATAAGTTGTGCTTTTAAAACTTGGTTCCTTTGAAATTCAGTGTACTTGTAAATAGTTTTGAGTGAATACATCCTATTTTAAGAAATTCTCATATACATCAGTAATTCTGTACAATGTTACATAAACACAAATGTTATTAGAATTACAACTCCTGATGTGTTGCATGGCTCAATATACTATGTACAGAGAACAATTTTAACACAAGCTAACGGGACTGCGGAAGGAAAACAGAAATCAGGCAAATAGAAAAACAACCATTCGAACACATGAATACCCACATTCTTTTCTGAGGCACGTGACATAAGCAGTATTGTCCCATTGCTTCTGACCTGTGTACCAGGGGCAAGGGAGCTTGCTGAAACTACTCCTGCAGGTCGACCCCCTCCACTGCAGACTACTGGCTGGATAGGAGATGCTGTAGCCCGTTCCATGGTTGGTTGTGATGATGTAATCCCAGCAGAATTCTGTTCTTCAACTAAAGTGTCCATGGCATTCTGTAAATGGCTAGGCTACATTAAATAACTTGACAATAATCTGACATTTACTGATCAAAATTGGCAAGTACACTTTCTAAATTACTTACATAAAAATGTTTTTGTTCAAACAAGGTGGATATGCATTCAGTAACATAAATGTCAAGAATAAAATGGTAGCTACAAGACAGAAAAGCTAAGAATCACTAATATATCAGCTTTATGATTAATGCTCTTTTTTTATAAAAGAGAGGGGAAAAAAAGGAGTAAATACATATACACAGAAATTAAATATCAATTGCAAAACATTCAGATTGACAATTAGTGTGAAGTTAAATATGTCCACATTAGAGCTGTAAAATACTTTAATTAAAAACATATACCTTTCAATTTTTTAATTCACATATTACTAATCACAGAACTCAAAATACACAAATTTATTGACAGTCATACCAAATCGGTGGAACCAATGTTCCCTTGATAGCAAGCAATTACAAAAATAAAATAACTTGCACTGTTAAAAAAAATAATCAATTGATATATTTTCGTAAAATAAAGAACGTTCGCAAAAATAAACATTTTAAATGTAACTGTTAACAAAAAGATGGCAGCACCATCGAAATATTTATTTAATACAAAACGAATTTTCTTAAACTAGAATAACTTTCCAACAAAGGTTTTTTTGTGTGCTTTTAGGTGCAAAACTACACAACAGATTATCTGTGCTCTGTCCACCACTGGTAATCGAGCTCCGAATTTTGGCGTTGTAAGTTGGTAAACCTATCGCTAACCTACTGAGAGACTCCAGCAAATGAGAAAATAATTTGTCTCATTCGTTATTGAGTTTTTCAAGGGATAAGAATCACTGGTTTATTGAAAATGTATCCCTTATAATAAATGTTACAGTTGCATAAACGTAAGGTTTCACCTTAAAATCCCCTCTAAGTTAATTTAGTATGATATTCGGTTTAATGATAATAATTTTGTTCCTTTAGTGTTCAGCACCAATCTGCAGAATAGGCTATCTGTGCTATGGCCACAATGGGTATCGAAATAGCTTTTTAGCATTATAAGCCTTCAGACTTGCTGCTAAGCAGGTGGGATAGGAATATTAATAACAAACACAATACTGGACAGTATAATAAAGCTGACCATTCCAAAACTTGAATTTTTATAAAAGAAATCCATCCTACGCTCAAAGAATTCTGCATGCTAAGCCGCAAATAGTCTGTACTTGACAGCCAGCTCAGCCCTTGATGTGTTATTGCGAGGATTTCTGTGTTAACACGCACTTTCGATATCAACATGAAAATACAATCTGTGATTGCGATATTGTAGATATACATGTATGAGTATATATACATGGTATGTTTCTTATTCGTCCATACGACACTCGTAAATTTAAACTTTCTGAATGAAACAAACCAAAGACCAACATAAATGTGTATCATGATGAAGTATTTACCATAAATACAATACTTTTTTCAACTTGAGTTATAGCAATAATAGTCTGCAAACAGAATTAAAGACTTTGATTTTTACAGTGCTTTTCACACTTCTTGTCCTGCCAACATGAATAACCAAAAAAAAAATGATCTTCGTTGTTTATATAAAAAATGTGCACGTTTTAAACACACAGTATAATTGTAAAATACATGTCATTAAATGTTTTAATAACATATTTGTTGGTCTTAATAATCACGTAGCGTATGACAATAATAACCTTTTCATTTTAACGCTCTGGCACCTGTATCCTAAGTCGGAGTGGTCAAACAATGCCTAACGCCAGCTCCCGAAGGAGAGTGGTCTGAGTGCTCTACCAACGAACACGGGAGATCATAAACAGCCAGAGTGTTCTCTGACACTATTAGAGTTTAGTTATAAAATACACTTAATTCCAGGTGTAAACTGCGTATATATTTTTCATACATATGCTTTTAGTTTTTGAAATGTCGAGGCTCAGTTCCAATTTCAAGTAACATAGCGGCGCTGCGGAAGTATTATATCCCTGCTGCTGACTTTCCCCTGCTAAACAGTACTAAACGAAGAATAACTATGGCGTTTTAATTTGCCCATGTGGTGGATAAGGTGCCGTTCTGGTTGAAATATCAAAGTCTTATTATATTTCTTTCTAACCACACAAATTCCTACAGACGCAAAAGATAAAGATCAAATAATTTGTGACTTTATCTTTTCTTCGGCTTATTTACAGATTGTTTTTAGCTGTTGTTTTTAATTTCTTGTGATTCTATATGCACGATAACAGGGTAGAGCTTCTGTCTGAAATCTGATAATTGTAGTATTAAGAGTGACGTCCACTTTAGATTCTTTAATGTAAAGCTAGCTAATTCAAACGTCAGAGGAACAAAGTAATTTACCTTTGTTCAGCAGATAACAGAAACATAATACTCACAGCCACATTATCATTCATGTTTAACAGCAGATATGTGAAACCTTCAAAATGCTTTCATACCATAATGGGGCCGAGTTAGGCTCAATGGCTAGCGTGCCGGACTGTGGATTGTAGGTTCTGTGGTTCGCGGCTAGTTACGATAACCACCAAGAACAACAACAAAAAACCGCGCTCCACATTTTCGGGCTGTAAGTACTATATAACGAGTGACATTCAAATCCCACTATTCAATAAGGGTAGCCCACAAGTTAGCGATGAGCAATGTTAACTAGCTGCTTCTCTCTGGTTTATCACTTCCAAGTTAAGAACAGCTAACGCAGACAGCCTTGGAGTAGCTTGACATGAAAATTAACAAACAACAACATTCCATAATAAGCTTATATAACACGGTCACAAAGAGTTAAAATATTTAAATAAGTATATATATATCTATTTAATTATTGAGCTGAGCATGGCATTGTGGATAGTGTTCTGACTGTGGATTAAACAGGTTCAAGACCTGATGTTGCCGAACACACTTGGCACTTTCAGCTACGGATGTGTTTGTTATAAATATGACAGCGAATCCCATCACTGGATTCGAAGAACCAGACAAAAAAAAAAACTTTTTTAGCGGTTGGTGCTGAATGCCCGTCGATCGTTCAAAATAAGTGACGACCACACCTGAACTTTAGGTGTCCCTAACCTGATCGTTTAGCTCAAGTGCGTATGCCTATC